GGGTGGGTGGGTGGGTGGATGGATACTTATAACAATTGTCAAAAACAGTCTGTTGCTTTAAACCGCTAAATGTACCTTCTGTAGAATCTGCAGCACAGACCATCTTCAAGCCTCCTGCTGCCCTTTGGTCAAAATGAGCAGAGGCCTCAGTTTGGACCTAAGTGAAGCAGGAGGGTTAATCCTTCGTTACTGTCGTCATGACGTTTCACACACTTTGGGTTGTAGGTTAGATTAGAGGTGGAGTTATGACGTTGTGGTTTTCTAAAGGTTGTGTTATGACAGTCTACGTGAAAATGTGCACTGGAGTTTCAGGATGTTCTACTTGGATTATTGAGCATGAACTTTGGTGTTTTTGATTTGACATCAAGCTCTGGAATTTCTGACCTCTGACCTCTGGTCTCGTCCCTGCAGGAGACTCCCCCACAGGTCTGTCCAAGGAGATTGCCAGTGCCCTGTCCCGCGTCCCCGGCTTCGAGATGGACCCCTTCTCCCTGGACGAGCAGCTAAGGATGGACCCTCTCTCTCTTGACATGCTGGAGGGTGACCTGATGCTCGCCGACCCAGTTGTAGAGGACTCTTTCCGGTCCGACAGGCTCAAATGACCCCCCTCCCCCTCCCACATACACACAAAGCAAACAAACTCTGTGAGGAGGTGAAGAAGATCCACCCCCACCCTGCAAAAAAAGAAACCAAAACCAGCTGGTCTGAAGGTCTTGAAGTACCGGTAGATCTTCATCGGGGTGATGATGAAGACTTTTGGTTTCTCGTCAGAATGAACCGGGGAGGGGGAGGGGCAGAATGGGGGGGTCGTTTTCCTCCAGGGAAGTGAACTCTGCATCGCTTCAGTTTGTCGGCATTAGCTTCTTGGTGTCTTTTCTGCACGAGCAAAGGTCGCGTCTGTTTAATGTAAAGCCCGCGGCGTTTTGAGCAGCATTATGCACGCTGACGTGCACGGAGCCTGACCTCTGACCTTTCCTGAGGTCAGAGGTCAGGCTCCGTGCACTGGCCACTCTAAGAGGAACTCAGCCATCAGTTTAGGTTCTTACTAAAAAGAATCAAGTCTGCCTCGGCGGACGCAGGTTCAGGTTCTGATCTGACCGCACGGTTCTGATCCACCGTGCAGCTGAGACGGGTCGATGCTGCTACAGGTCGACCTCAGTGACGCACACGTGTTGAATCTGTCCAGTTTATCCAAGCAAGAAAAATTATTTCAGACCCGATCCCAGAGCAGCTGAAGGCAGAGACCCTCGGAGTCCTGCCTGTCTCTGAGACCCTCGGAGTCCTGCCTGTCTCTTAGACCCTCGGAGTCCTGCCTGTCTCTTAGACCCTCAGAGTCCTGCCGGTCTCCGAGACCCTCGGAGTCCTGCCTGTCTCTTAGACCCTCGGAGTCCTGCCGGTCTTTGAGACCTTCGGAGTCCTGTCGGTCTCTTAGACCCTCGAAGTCCTGCCGGTCTCTGAGACCCTCGGAGTCCTGCCGGTCTCTGAGACCCTCGGAGTTCTCCCTGTCTCTTAGACCTTGATACACGATGTTGGTGGCTGTAGCATCAGATCAGCTGCGAGGTCAGATCGGATCAGCTGTAGCTGCGATGTAACGTTGAGCAGAAACTTCGATGTTTGACGACAGATTTAATTAATTCTCTTCCTCTCAGGTCTGGTCTTTAAAGGGCATTTCCACCTAATTTAATGTAAACCCTGAATGTTACTGATAGAAAACAGAAAAACTTTCAGACTGAAAAGATTTAGAGAAAATATCAGAAAATGTTTTCAACTTCTCAGGTTTTATTTTCTGTACGTTAAAGATAAAATCTGATTATTTTTAACAAAAGATATCTAGATTTATAGCAAAAAGAAGCAAAATGTTCATCTTTTCATTCTGTTAAATCCTTTCACAGAAAACAGACATCATCTGAACCCAAACAGGACGTTGGCTGCTCTTTAACTCCGCCCACTCACTGTGATTAGCAGCTTTAAGCCCCGCCCATCCCGACTGTCTGCAATCACTGCATCAGTTTTTAGACACATTTTTCTGTAAAACTTAAAGATTTTATATTTAACCAGAATTTTAAAGTGTGTAAATAGTTTCTGAGCTATGAAAGTTTTATAAAATGTGTGCAGTTTATTAAAAAAAGCAACGTTTGTAAAGTGAGCTGCGTGTGTGAGAACACACACATACACACACACCTGGAGTCTGGACCCGGCAGCAGGGGCAGGTTCTTAAATGTGCAGAGTGTGAAATAAACCTTAAGTTCAAGTTTCTAACTAAGAAACGACCAGGACCTTTTGTTTCTGCCTCCACTTCCAGGCTGCAGAACTCGCTCCTCATTTTATGGTGGTTGAACTCGGTCGATTGAACGCGGTCGATTGAACGCGGTCGGTTGAACGCGGTCGGTTGAACGCGGTCGGTTGAA